AAATAAAGATATCCTCTTGTTCGACATTGCTGCAGGACTTCCTTATTTAATATTTTAACTTTAATATTTTAACTTTAATATTTTAACTTATAGTCTCAAAAAGATTTTTTTTATTGGTTTCTTTATCTAAGTGGTAGTTTTCGTTTCCAACTGCTTTTTGTAGGGAGACAAAGTCAGGATAACAGTTCTTCTTCTTTTCATTACATGAGATGTGTAATACCAGGTTTTGTCCCAACACAAGAACGAGTTGGCCAAAGATAGTAGCACTTATCACGAAGAAACAGAGATACCCGGTTTTATCCTACTTTCTCCTATATATTTATATATCAATTATTATTTTTAAAATGATAATATATTATATTATTCGTACAATTATTAATGTGCAAGTTTGAGTTTTTTTATATTATCAATATATTGAATTCTCTTGTCTCTTAGCTATTATCTACAAAGAAAATTAATAATACCAATTTTTCTGTTGCGGTTTGTGGGAGAACATTTCCCCCGTAATTTATTTTTGAGTGATTTATACGTACAATCTCGCTGCTGACAGATTCGTGACAAGAAGGACTATCGGGAAAATTGTAGCGGTCATGGACGTTACCTGCTGGGCAGATGCAGATGCGATCGTCTTTATCACGGCGCGAGGTGCGAATTCAAGGAGGAATGCCTGGATGATTCGGACTGCGGTATTCAGGGCACGTGCATCGACAATAGTGGTACGACCGCGCCTACCAAGCACTGCTACTGCAACACCGGCTGGTTCGGTCCGGGTTGTGCGAAGAGTAAGTTTCACCGCGGAAATTCCTTTCGAGAATTTCTCGCGCGACCGGGACACTTGGCACCGAACCGGTGCTCCACCGATCTCGTCACTCGATAGTAGTGTTTCTAGAAAATATTTTTTTCACATTACTCTTTTCAATTTCTTTTATCTTATATTAAATTTACCTTTTAAGAATTGTAACACATACATTATACAGATATTTTCATTTGACATATATATTCATATATATATTATTGGTTTGCAATAAAACAGCTTTAAATTTCAAGATAATTTTTTAATCTCCTGTTTTTTAAATCATTTTTGCATCGGTGACTCTACTTTCAGGATCGCTGGTGAAAAGCATCGACGTAGACTTGGACTCTTACACAATGAAGCGATTCTCCGATGACGTCATATTTTACTGGAGAATCTTGAAAGAAAGTAAAGAACTCGAAGGCATTCTTATGGCCAACTCCACAACGTGGATCGGTATCGGATGGAGACCTGACGATCTGGGACCATCCTGCCGATCCTTCCCAATGATCAGGGATATACCCGAACCACTTCCGCAGCCGGAACCAAAATTGGAACCAGTCGCTGAAACAGAGCCAAAATCGAAACCAGAACCTATAGCGGAACCCGAACCGGAACCGGAACCAGAACCAGAACCAGAACCAGAACCAGAACCAGAGCCCGGCATAGAAGGCGAGAAATCGATAGCAAAGAGACGATCGGCTAAGGCGGACGTTGCAACATTTGTAACTTCACGACCGAATGCCGACGTTACTGTGCAAACCAGTGTAACTTATCAAGTCAGCACGAAGCAAGGTAGGATTTTTTGATCCTTTTTTTCGTGTCATTATTTCCCGGAAAAAACATATTTGACATTATATTTGTCGGATTGTATCTTAAAAAGTTCTAAAATCGGCCTTACATTATAGTGTATTCCATTTATTCTATATTCTTTCTGAAATTTATGTTGTTTGCTATAGCCTGTGATATTTTTGTATAAGGATGTTTACAAGATTGCTTTTATTTTACGAGAAGAAAAAGAGTAATTAGCATTTGTAGGAGTGCTTATATTTTTTTCTTCTATTGCGCACAGCAAACAATCACTAATACGCTATCATTATTACCTGTTGTATTCTGACGTGTTATATTTGATCTGTGTAGGAGTTCAAGGAGCACCTAATTACATAAAAAGTCAGTCGTTAGTCGTAGTCAGTTGTAGAAAAATGACAATGCAAACAAAAGTAATCCGTATTTGAATTATAATACATCGGGCATTAGATAACTATATATGAAGGAACATTATAAAAACACACATATAATATTTTTATCTGCATATGAATTATAAATTCTTTAAAAGCAGACTTTTTTTTATGTCGTTACACTTGTTGTGATTTGATGTCAATTGCACAATTGTCATAAGAAATCTTTATGTTCTGAACCGAGAAATAAGAAATGAATTATTTATATCGTGATTTTTGTACCTGTTGTTGCTAATGATTTGTGCGAGACATTCTTTGATTGATAATTAATTTTTTCGCGTAGGTCGCAAGAGAAGATCACCGGAACCAATCGCGGTATCTGCGAATGGTATGTATGGTATATTTATGTCCCCAGAATAGTCCCGATGAGTCGCTCGCTTGTTCAAGAATTCAGTAAAGATACGTAGTTTGCCCAAGAAATCCCAGTAGTTCCTGTAGTAATCTTTTGTACGATTTGTAATTTCCTTTTTTTCGAGACACGACGCACAAGGTGATGGCCCTTATAAGTAGATAAGTAGATTCGCACGACGTACGATGCTTTGTTGCACAGGAAAACCGGTCGCCAAATCCAGCGTTGTCGTCGGGCAAGAACCGAAATTCGAGCCAGAACCTACCTCTGAGCCAGAACCCAGCTCTGAACCAGAACCAAAATCCGAGCCTGAACCCAGGTCTGAACCAGAACCGAAATCCGAACCGGAACTTAGCTCTGAACCAGAATCAAAATCCGAACCGGAACCTAGCTCTGAATCAGAACCAAAATCTGAACCAGAACCGAAATCCGAACCGGAACCTATCTCTAAAGCAGAACCAAAATCTGAGCCAGAACCGAAATCCAAACCAGAATCCAGCTCTGAGTTAGAGCCGAAATCCGAGTCAGAGCCGAAATCCGAGCCAGAGCCAAAGTCCGAGCCAGAACCAAAATCCGAGCCAGAGCCAAAATCCGAGCCAGAGCCAAAATCCGAACCAGAACCGAAATCTGAGCCAGAGCCAAAATCCGAGCCGGAACCGAATTCTGCACCGGAACCAATATCCGAACCAGAACCCAATTCTGAGCTAGAACCAAAATCCGAGCCGGAACCTAAATCTGAACCGGAACCTAAATCTGAACCAGAACCTAAATCTGAACTGGAACCCAATTTGAAGCCGGAACCGAAGTCGGGAGCGACGAAAGGTAACGAATGGACCGATTCAACGCTTGTTTATGCATATATAAAAGTCGCCACGCTATAATATCATTAACTCTTGAGCTACTAGAGATTTTTGCTTTTTAACTCTCGTTTAATGAAATATTTTTACATCGAAATGTTTGTCAATTTTTCTTTTTAATTCTGATATGACATGTATCACGCATACATAAATATATTATTTTCATTGAAGAAAGATTCGATCTTAAAATCTTAATAGTAGCAATATAAAAAAATCTCTTGTAGTGATAGCCATCAGAACATCTCGACAATGATCAGTAGTACATCACCCAACATTACTTTCGGTATTCGCAACTTTCACGATAACCATAAAGGAAAACTTTGTACAACTGGAACGAGAGGTCCGTAACGGTAAATATTTGCAGAGAAAGTGTAATTAGCGTGCTGATAAGAAGCTAAAGAAAAATCCATTCCGTGCGTGCGACATCCGCGTCGCTTCTATCGGATACGGCACTCATTGTAAAATGTTAACGCAACTGCGCTCTGATACTGCATAAAAAATTTCCATTTATTAATTTGTCAATCGCGTTCTTAACGTAACGATGTAAAGAAACACTTGTAGATAATATCAATAACGCTTATGCTTCATGTCTTCATCCCACTCAGCTTCCATCCCCCTCCCCTTTCCTCCGCGTCGCTATTTACCCGGAATTTTATTTTTTCTCCTGTAAATATACCGATAACGGATTCGAAATTGTAGCATGCATTTAACTTCGACACGAAATTTGCACATGTCTCGATTTCTACCCGTCACGATTTTTCACCGACACCGTAAGACCATCATTCAAACTCGCATTATCATAACATCGACTCATCCCATTCAGATGAATAATTAATCCTCTGTCGATTATAAAAAGCATTTAAAAACAAATTAAAGTCAGCATGATATTGTAATTAAGAAGAGTAGAAAGGAAATTATTTAAAAGACTTATTTAAGAACAAATAATTATTTTATATTCCAAAAAATGTTTAAATAATTTTGAAATAATATATGTATAAGATTTTAGTCTTCTTGTATTCTCGTATGATTTAAAAACGTTACGAAAAATTCGGGTGATAAAAATATCGGACGCACTTCTCTCAATTCATTATTCAATTTCATCATAGACGTTTTACACGACGAATATTTTGCAAATTCGGCATTGCGTTAACTAAATTTACATGTTCACGTTCTCCAAAAGCATCGTTACCAGCACCAGGACACAAGTACACACCCAAGCACGACTTCAACCCGATGGACTGCACGGATATTATAATCGGCATGGCGCGAGAGACGAATTATAGGATCGGCGATTATTACACGAGGGATCGATCGACGCCCCGCAAGGACGAATATTGGGGCGGAAAGGACAGTTTGACGGCCGCATTCGGTTACGAACGCGACGGCGTCACGACGATGCTCTTCCGCAGGAAATTGGCCGCCGCGGAGCCGACCGATCACGAGATTCGCGACGGTAATATGCATGTGATTTGGGCGAAAGGTCAAGAGCCGGGCAAGTACGTGCATCAACCGGCTAGCGGTATCGAAAAGGCCAAGGCCAACGTTAAAGACTTCTACAAGGTCGACGAGCTTAAATATCACGGCCACGGAATGCAGAGAGGCGCGGTGACGATGAATTTCTTCGGTGAGACTTCTAGTCAACTCGCTACGTTTATTCACAAATCGCCAGACTATACAGGATATCTCAGAGTTACCGCATCATCTGCTAATGGCAGATTCTTAAGATCATTCGAAAACGATTTTTCCTCTGCGAAAATGTTGAGAGAGAGAGAGGTCATCATTGTTTGCAAGTTCCTCATTTTTTTCATCATATATCTTTGTAACTAGTCTTAAATTAAAATTCTCTCTCTCTATTAAAAAGTAAACTCTATCTGAAATTAACTAAAGAATGTAGTTTTAACTCTCTATAAAATTTAGTTTGCAAAAAGCCCTTATTTTTTAATCGCTTATAACTTATAACATGGAAATTATTGATGCCTCGATATTTTTGCTGAGGAAAAATCATCTTAAAATGATCTCAAGAATTTGTCATTAGTAGGTGGTGCGGTAACACTGGGGCATTCTGTATAATGAAACACAATTTAGTCTTCCGTTAAAATTGTGAACAGATACTTGATAGCATCTTCTGACAAAACTATTTTCACATTCTGGAATATTTTAAAATTACACTATTATTTTTTGTTATAAATTCCGTTAAAAAAATCTCTAAAATTTTTTCGTTTTATGACAAACACGTTGATCATTTCACGCGTAACATCCGGACATTTCAGACGAAGCTAAAAAACCGGAATTTGCCGGCGGTGTAACATTACAAGACGGTCGCTGCGGTGGTCAATGGCGTTATCCGAGAAATTGTTCGCCGGAGAATGGCACTTGCGAATATGCTATACAATGGACGTACAAGGGTAAAAAGGTAATCCATCTCATATTTTTTCCTTGACTTTTTTCATGCGCGGGAGCAGACAAAGCTCGGTTCCTCTCTGACGAAATCAATATCATGGAAATTCTTTTCCCTAGGATCTGATAACATTCGTAATTTCCACGACGAATACCAATACGTGGACCGGAGTTGGATTTTCCGATGACGGCAGCATGGTAAGAAGAACTTGTCATATGGATTTTTCAAGCGTTTTCTCTCGATAAATCACTTTAATATCTAAGTTTAATTGTGCATTATAAATCGGTTTTAAAAATTAACCAAAAAGTCATTATATTTAACCGGATCGATTCAGACTTCTTGAAAAAGGAAAGCATATCGCGTAAAAAGAAACTTCAGAACTTGCGAAATTTATAAATAATAGTATAGATAGAATAATATTGTGTATAGATTTATTTTTCTTATATTTATTTTTTTTTAATTTGTTTTAATTTGTAGTCACAAACCGATGCCGTACTTGGCTGGGTCGACAAAACGAACGGTCGGGCTTTCTTGATGGACACTTGGATCAGCGGTTACAACGCGCCGTTGCTAGATCCGTCGCAAGACGTCTACAACATCAGCGGTCGTATCGAGAACGGTGTAACTACTCTCGAATTTTCAAGAAAACGCGTTACGGAAGACAGCAGGGATCTGTCGTTCACGGACGATCACTGCCTGTACATGATGTTTCCGGTAAAAGGTGGTATATTTAATCCGATCAATAAGAAGATCCGGAAACACGACGCGAAACCGATTGTTTCGTCGGATAGAATATGCATCAAGTCCTGTGGTTTAGAAGGTAAATATTGACTAAAAATTTGTTGCATTTTTATGATTTACTAAAATTGTTAGTATGATTATTAATATAATTTTTAAAGTGACGTTAGCAATTACGTTATTGTATCATTTGACGTATTATTAATTAATTGCCTCATCTGTTTCTATTTAATTATACATCATTGTTAAAATTATCACGATTATGTTGTTTAATTAATTGATAACAATCTTTTTTGTTAAAAAGATTATTTTTTTTGTTATTACGTCAGCTTTTATATTGTTTATTAATTAAATTCTTAATTGAAATGATTTAAAATGCTAATTTCTTGTGTTCTAAAATATGTTGAAATTATATTTCTGTAAAAATATTCTTCAATTATCTATCTAGAAATTGAAGACCAAACCACGCCCGCGCCACCGAGATTGCATTATGATATCGAAGTCAAGCTCGTTAATCTGGGCGATGGATTTATAACTCCCGTACCCGGCAGTTCCGACTTCGAAGTGATCTCGAACAAGATATCAGATAGCTTCGGACCAGTCTTTGAGAAACTGCCAGGCTATTATCAAGTCCGGCTTGACGAGTTACGAAAGTAAGACAAAGTACTATATCAAGAAATCAAAAAGTAGCAATGTGCGCGATGTTTAAACGTGTTTTATTTTTTTTCTCTCCTTTCAGAGACAACGAATCGGGAGTGATTGCCCGCATGAATCTGATCCTTGACAAGAACGAAGCTAAGGGCAGATCTTTGAAAGCTGCGGACACCGGGATAGAGACAGAAAAAGCCTTACGTGAAGCATTGGTGACTGGCAAAGTCGGTGCGCTCAGCGTCGATCCACAGTACTTAATAATCAGAGCACCTCGAGGTGAGCCTCTATAATCAGTATATGTATATATAATTATAAAGCATTTCCCCTCTCTATTCTTCTTGTAACCGAAACACTTTTATATATATCTGTTTCAAGTTGAAATTACACTTCGTTTCTTCTTAACAGTGCATGTAACATAGCGATCATATTAACATTTAAAAATCACATAATTAAATTAAAACAAGTCAAGTAGCGTCATTTCTAAAATGTTAATAATATAAAATAAAATGCGAAGGAAGGAGAAAGGGAGGACTTGAATTATTTAAAATATTCATCATCTTCAATGTATCATCAAGAATCAACATAATGACAGAATGTGACATATTTGCTTCCAGTGAACGATATTGAGGCGGAAGATGAAAACGAGCGGTCATCTTCTTCAGATCTATTTCTGAGTGCGACAAAGCTCTATATCGTCGTCGGTTGTGTAGCAGCTTTGCTAGCCCTTGCATTACTGCAGGCTAGTTGCACTCTTTACAGAAGCTCAAAAAGAAGAGCAACTAAGGTATGTCCCGTGTGTGTTAAAACTTTTTCTTCTTCGCATATTTTTTTTCTTTCTCCACTTTTCTCGCATTCCCAGGTCCTTTTTCAGAGTGTGTTGTATTCTGTTGTGCCTCTAACGATTTTATTTGATACCTAACGTGTTCCAAGAAGCCATCTGTAATGCTATCAGAAAATTCTACTTCTGAAGAAAAAATTATTTTTAGGCAAAATATTTGATTGAACTCTTGCATTTGCCATAACTTTCCCACATCTAATAATTTAATAACTAACGTCGTAATTAGTAAGAATAACTCAAAAACTGAACAAAATTTCAAATTAAATCATGAAGTCTCGAACGATATGTCGATTTGTTTCTTCTTTTATTTTATTTTATTTTTTTTCTGAAATGGTTTGAAGGATCGTTTTACTGTTCCCGTATGCCTCTTTTCTTGGAACATTTTGTAGCGTACAAATTACATACACTTTCATCTCCTAATGAACCCAAACATCTATTGCTTCGCTTGTGTTGCATGACCCGCGCTCCTCGCGACCAAAAAAGAGGGTGTACTCGCTGCCTCTGGCTTCTTCCGATGCGCCCAACCCGATTCATCGCACGAACGCGACGCGGTACCATCGACAACAAAACGGCGATCATCATCACCACCATCACAACAACAATAATCATCATCACCATCATCATCATCATCAACTTCGGCATCATCACCAACACGCTCCGTCCGAAATGCATCGGGTTAATCCCAACTGGTAAAACTCCTCGTCGAGTATAACCGGTGCGCAATATTACACTCTTCCCATACATTCTCTTTCGCCCTTTAATCAAAGCTTTCCTTGCTAATCTGGCTTTTCTTTTGGCATTCTTTTTCTCTCGTATGTCCCCACATCTTCCCATAAAGCTTTACTAAGTCTAATATTTTTCACTAATATGAGATGATTAAATTAATTTGCGTAAGTAAAATTATTTTCATTTTTCGTAATCGTTAACAAGCATCGGACATTGGACTTGCCATTTTTTTGTATAGGAACGTTTGATCGCCAGCAATGCCTGGAAGGACTATGCTTCCGGCGCAAACACAAACTTTGCATTCGAGGCATTCGAAACGGAGGAGAAGGCGCCGCCGCCGCCGGTTTCCAGCCTGCCGAGACCCAGAGAAATGATGACTAGTAATGGTATGACTGTCATGAACGGTAACGACACCATCGATGGACCAAATAGAATGGTCGGACCTAGAGCAACCTACAGCCTGCCTCGCGCGCCCGGTGCCAGACATTCGGCGCCTATCCAACCCGGATACTACACGCAAGATCGTAGGGATCATTACGGGCGTGCCAGGAGCATGCACAATCCGGCAGGCGCCCAGGCGAATCAGCCGGACTTCTACTTTATGCCCAGTCAGCGAAAATACAGCGGTGAGGTCGTGCGTGTTTACGTGGATTATGGCAGCCAGGTACCCAAGTAATAGAAGGATTTAGACCGCGAACCACACGATAGAATGATTTAATCGAAAAGCGACTTGTATATATATATGAGTTAGTGACAAAGGACGCGGAGAAAAAGACTCACAGCCTTCGCGCGGTGCTATTATCTCTATTTTCTTCTTTTCTTTTCCCCGCGACTTTTTTTTCCCGAAAATCCGTTTGAATCAGCTTGATGAAATGCCGGAGAGGGAAGTCCCCGTGCGGAAGCATAGAAGTGACGTTTACGACCAAAGAAAATTATCCATAAGGCGCGCACCCTACAATCCTGTACAGAGCGCATAAACTCTCGTCAAACTTTTATGCTTTTGTGGTGGAAAATGTATAGTTACGTAAGCCTATGTAGTCGAGAATCTGACACTCCAAGGATCCCTAGATTCGAATATGAATCTTAGTGGTAAGTATCTGAAGATTCAAAAGCAATCCAACGACCTTAAAATTTAATATCAAGAAAATATGGCGCTCTAAGGTTATAGAGCATATACAGAGATCCATGGATCCTAAATTAATAAGATCAAATTATTCTGAAACTTATAAAATTGAAGACCCAGAAAATCATGTACCTAAATTAATATTTCTTTCGATGGATACGCGTATCCATTGACTACGCGTAACGGTATCAACAATAAATGCATTTACTTAAAAAGAGCAAGCATGGACGTTCAAATAATAAAATATTTGTACATTTCTAAATGGAGTTGATGCGTCCTGTTTCTTTGAAAGATTAGAGTACTATTACTTATCTTCAAAGTATTATATATGTATATATATCTACAAAGAACAAGAATGTCATAGAAGAAGCGACGATACACACGATATAACAATGGAAATAAACGTGCGCAGTACATTTGCGACAATTGAAACGATGTTTTAGTTGTTATGGATAAAAGTTGTAATACCTATGACAATTACAACACTGTCAATATAGAGAATCGTGTTGGTACGGATTATAAATTATTACAATAGCGATAAAATTAACGGTATAATACTTGTAATAATCATAATAACGGTAATTGTAGCAGCAGTAGTAACGATGGCAATAATATTACAATATTAATTACATTAATGTCGTTAACAACGGCGTCGCGTGCAGCCAGACTTCCGGGATATTTCCATTAGCACGATGGAATATATCGTAATGTAAGGCGACGCCAAAGATAGGCTCTCTCTCTTTCTCTTCTTTTTGAACATTCGAAAGTACACGAACATATATCCGGAAGCCAATTGTGGCACGCACTGCCCGCGTTCCTATTATATTACGTAACTAGTACATATTTTCGGCCCTACCATAAAGTTTATTTTATTAATTTTCTTCTGTCACACAAAGTTGCAAAGTTCGAGAAACGGCTTCTACGCGAATCTAATACTTCCATGGCATGCTCGACGAACGTGCGAGCGTAAATATCACGCAGAATGCACGTGACGGATAAACGCGCGATCAAACTATTGATGTTTATCAGAAATTCGCATCCCGAAGCGTTTTGTGGAAAATTATATGTACTCACGTTCGGCGAGCATGCTTATTTTTCTACTTGTCGCGATCTCTGTTTTCTTTTTAACTTTTCATACATACATGCATTATTTTTCTATCTTTCTCTCTTTCTCTCTATTTTACTCTCTCTCTCTCTCTCTCTCTCTCTCTCACCCTTCGTTCCCTGGCACGCACTCCTGTCATCATCATCGGCATTTATACATATAATTCGTGTCAACACATTTTTCTCTCCATCGGTCAAAGCGGTGTAGTTAAAGAATACGAACAGGCAAACATCTGATAAATGGAGTGAACACCGTAATAAGGCTTAATTTAATTTGTTAGTAACTTGTGTGATCCTGCTATGCACGCGTTTGCTGCACGGAATCTGCTTTCAGGCAAGTGTGCACTATAAATGGCCCAGTGTTTTTTCAGTGTTTATTCCACATTTGTGACATTATATATCTCTCATTCCCATTATCTTTATGAATTTCCTTTATAACACTCTGTGACACTGACAGTTCCTTGTTCCATTTCTATCGCATCGCTCTCATTTATCTATTTGTTGTTTCATTTCCTCTGCCTGACATCGGATTCCTTGTTGGGCGTCGGTTTACTACAAATTTAACAAAACAAAATATCAAACAAAGAGTCGAGTACGAGAATATAAAATATAGAAAGTCTCTATTAATATAATTTACAGTCATATTCGAAAATGCTGCAAGTTTATAATTATAAAGAACCAAAATAAGAATGCAACAAAATAGAATAAATAATTCTCATCTACGTTTTTCTTTTCGTAAACAGTCGGAACAGATAATTTAGCCAAGTCGGGATACAGATTTTAGAATACGATATTTCTGGAACTTATCTGAGCTAGGTTCGAAGTGAACGCTCTTGGTGGAATGTGACGTTGGAGATGAAATTGGAAGGTCGGTGGAAAGAGGTCCATGTAGTGAAATATAACATTCCAAAGATTCATCGAAGGAGGTGGGTTCTAAGACATTATGTCTATGGGTAAAAATTTCAGATAGCACTCTATTATCTACATACATTCCGTAAAGTAGTAAGATTCAATTAAAAAAGCAAATATATAGATAGAAATAGAGATAGATAGAAATAAAGAGAGATAGATAGAAATAGAGAGAGAGGGAGGGGAGAGGAGAGGGAGGGAGGGAGGGAGGGCGGGAGGTAGGGAGAGAGAGAGAGAGAGAGAGAGAGAGAGAGAGTGTATAATCCTAAAACATACTTACGTATCAGGGCTCTGATCGGTATCGGACTCCTCCAGTTCGGCCTTGTTTCGCTTCTTTTCGTAGACCAAGATGATGGCGCACAGAACAACGACCTCCACGCAAATACCTAGGAAGGGCCAAAGTGCAGCGAGCTTATCCTTGACTCTGAGGAATGTCTCGGCCTCCGACGAGTGTTCTGCAACGGGATCGGACCAGTTGTATGACATCCTGCAGATAATGTTACCGCGATCATTCATCTCGATGTTGTCGACGATTAGAACAGCGCCGTAGATACCGGTCTCCGAATCCTTGGCTATCTTCACACGACCCTTGCTACGCGTATAATTTTGATCCCCGAAAGTCCAAGATATCTTTACGCCGGGGCTCGGATCTTTTCCAGCGCATACCAAGTGCAGTTTCTCGCCCTCCACCACGCTAGTAGATTCAGCTAGATGCGCTATTGGCCTCGCTAAAATTTTAGAACGCCGAATATAAGACAAAAACCTCTTCAGCACAATATCTTTGCACAAAGTTTTTTTCCTTTTTTTTCTAAAACACATACTTTTATAATAACGTAATACTATACATATAATGCGAGGGGTAGGTCACTAGTGGTTATAGTGTACAAAAATTACCCTTGATACGGATTACCTTTAAATTACCTCAGATTACTTAAGATTACCTTAGATTATCTCAGATTATCTGAGGCTACCTTAAGGGGCTACATACATATACCTAGCGGTAGGAAAAATAGGGGGAAATCTGATAATTTTTTTTTCATAAAAAAATTTTTTTTATTAAAAAATCTCTAGCTACATCTTAAAGTAGGTCCTTAATGTATATTTTTAAAATTTTCATTAATAAAAATTGAAAAATGTACCATGGAGATGTCATCTTCTGGAAACTGTTCGACGATGCGGTAACCATTGTAGCTCCTCCAATTTTTATCTGAAATCAAAAACCAAAAATTCTTAAAGTATGTAAAAAAAAGGAAGTTTTTGTCGTAGTCGATTTTTAAAATTGTGATTTTTTGAAAAATGGCGGCCATTTAAATGCAAAGATATAATTTTCAATCTGATACCTTCGCATTCAAATGGCCGCCATTTTTTGAAAAATCAGAATTTTAAAAATCGGCTACAATAACTTATTTTTTTTATATACGTTAAGAAAATTTTTTGGCTTTTGATTTCAGATAAAAATTAGAGGAGCTACAATGGTTACCGCTTCGTCAAACAGCTTCCAGGAGATGACGTTTCCACGGCACATTTTTCAATATTTATTAATGAAAATTTTACCAAATATACATTAAAGGACCTACTTTAAGATGTAGCTACAGATTTATTAACAAAAAAATTTTTTTTATAAAAAAAAATTGTCAAATTTTCCCCTATTTTTCCTACCGCTAGGTGTATGTAGCCCCTTAAGAACCAACTTCACATACGTCCTTAAGAATACCTAAAATTACCTACAGATTATTTGATATTACCCTTAGATTACTTAGATTTCCTATTAGATTACCCAAGATTATCTGATAATGCTAAAGATTATTTAGAATTACCAAAAATTACCTTGGATTACCCAAAATTTCCTTTGGATTGCCGCTGAATTACCTAGCCCTTGTACAAAAATTACCTCAGTGACCAACCCCTCGATATAATGGTTTTGTGTAAGATTCTTTTATTACTTTTAATAGATCTTTGACGTAAAATTATGTAAAATATGTTGCAGAGTACTCACGTACGACTCTGTATTCGATCGTGGAGTTCGCGCCCAATTTACAAGTGTAATTTCCATAAGCTTCCTTCTTATCCTTTACAATCTCCAGGCTGCCAGTCTCGTTGTCAATCTTAATGATGTCTTCATTGCCAGCTAGTGCTGTGCTCAACGGTGTCTTCTCCTTCTGCCATTGCACTTTATCACTCTTGTTTGCGCACTCGAGCACCAAAGGTATGTCATTGGGCGTAAGTACTCTAATCTTTATATCTGAGTCAAAGAGAGAGATATTATTTTCCGATGTTTTTGCTTTAAATATAACATCACGTGCAACTTACAGTTTCGAATGGATCATCGAAAAGATATACATGCATTTCGTTTTCGTGTTTTATTTAAAGATTTAAAGAAAAAGATAAAAATCTATTTTATGATATGAAAAAATCTATTTATAGCTTTATCTTAAATTGCTCAAATATTATAATGTAAGTGAGTGACGGTAGAAACGACTACCATTACAGTTATATTTAGAATGTCCTAAATATTCCGTAATAATAGCTAAGCAATACATGGCACATACGCAGCTGAAGAGAAGCAAACAATTCGTACATTCTACTTTTGTACAAAAAGTTCACTCACTTTTATGTACTACATAAATTGTTTGAATATTATCACGTCATCGTTAAATTACGAGAAACACGTTTACCTTTTGCGATTTTTTCCAAATACAAAAATATTCATGTTTCGTTTAGCAGAATTGTAATTGTTGTTATCTATAATAGAGTATAAAAAACGTATAAAGTGTTATTGATTATACTTTACGATTAGAAACTTATGATTAATATAACGATAATTATCCGATCAATCATAAAAGAGTCATATCATGAAATATATATTCATAAAAGAGAGATCACTAATTATTAATTAATGATCTATGCAAGATATGCAAAGACAATTTAAATATTACAATAATAAGAGAGATATATATTATTACTGCATAAAAATAACATAAATTTCAAACTACGGGCTTTTGCATAAAGATGATAGTTAATAATAATGTTACTAGTTTTAATGAAATGCATTAATGCGTCAATAAGAATAGTACAATATAAATATTAGTAATATTCTAGTCGAATATATTTTCATATCGAGAAAAGAGGAAAGTGAATAAAATGATCTCGAGCATGCAATAAGGCAATAATCAAGAATTTGCTCGAGATAGCGGCGACAGAAAATATCAAGTTATCAAATGTTATCAGAGATGTAGGGACAAGATTTTAGATATAGGCTATATAGAGCTGTAAATACTTAGCTTATTAATTTAATCGATATAATCGACATTTAGCTATATTTATTTGACAGAGAAATCTGTAATAAATGCGTATGCTAATAAAGTAAAATAATAAAATAAGATTGCATAAGCTACATATACCTGTAATACTACATATAACTAACAATAAGTTAATCTTTTTAATGGAAACTGTGAAATAAATGTATACCACATCTCGTCGGAAGGGAGAAGGAGAATGTGCAGTGACGTAAGTATATACAGGGTGTCGCAGAAAAATCACCGGAAATTCTTTTAATAACGGATTTCTGAAGTGAGAGATCAGAAATGAATTTATCGATGTAATAATATATGTTTGTAACACTACGAACCGAAATATATCGAGAGATGGAAAGACTCCGCACTATCGGATGTGCATTTGTAATCTCCGTCGTGGCTCTCTGTCGCTTGGGTCGCCGAGAGCTTGCTGGTGCCGGTGCCAGCCTTTGAGAGGACAACTAACTGACCACTGGACAGCTCGGGTTCTAGCGTCTGGCCATTCCTGGTCCACCTAATGAGATTATCGGCCTTCAAGTTGTTGCACTCGATCTCCCAAGCTTGTCCCTCGTGAACGACTGTCGGCCCCGAATACGTCACTTTTATCAAGAAAGAGAAAAAAATGATTATAAGTTTGTGCAACAGTGCGAAAGATACGAGAAACGGTGATAAAGCTGATATCTCATTCTGTTCTTAATTTAATTAAGCTGATTCATCACTCAAATAAATTTGTATAAATTTTTTATGAAACAACAAAAAATTTATAACATTATAATTATATATTTATAAATGATAAAAAATATATATGTTACAAAAAAGCATAGAAAAAATAAGGAGAATTACAAATTAATAAATTTGAAATTCTTTATATTGTAAGTAATGTCCTCATAAATAATTATAGCAGTATTTTCTACGTGTCTTTCACTACTGTTTACAACAGAGAGATCAGACATGGTTCGATGAAAATTCATCAGCTGTTATTTTCTGCCTGACTGTAAAGAAATCACGCAGGGCGAACCGGTATCTGCATAAATGGCCTTGGATAGGCGAAACTCAAAAATATTCGCCCCGCGTGGGTAAAAGCTAATATAAAGTGCTTAAAGAATCGGCACACATATCCTTATCATTTGTCATGAATAAACGAGTGCACTGTTGTTTTTACAAGCCTTGTTTACGAATCAAAGTGATATTTATTACATGCTTTCTCAATGCATTTTTTTAATCAACTAAATTTATATAAAAATATTTTAATTAAGATAATAGATTTACTCGGTATATATTTTAGTTTCCAAATTAAATTAGTTAATTTATTTTTAAATTAAGTTATATAATTTCATCAAAATTTCATTTAAAATACGTCGTACGATCGATCGACACTGAACTCGGGAAAGATCCACGTGACAAAAATATGATTTAACAGAAAAAAATGTATATTCGTCCTTACTTTGAGTGCAAGAGATCTAAATATCGATTATGCTCGGGAAGCGCATGTTCACGCATATTTACGTCAGAAAACTACTCGATATTCTTATCGAGTCCTCTCGTTCTTACGTCACCGATTGACATCGTATGAGTGACTACCATACAACTGAATATCGGCCGCACATCAGCTACAATCAGTTGATTGTCAAGTATTTGTGGAACAATAAGCCGGAATTTTCTCGCAGGAAACAATTAGTGGTAATTTAGCTGATTGCCTTTACTAATACACGCTCGTTTTATACACACGAAACAGCTATTCTCGGATTTTAAGGAAATACTGTACCGAGTAATATTGCTGTGTCCGCGGAAGAGATTAGCTTTAATTAACTTTTTTCATTAATTTTTTTTATGAAAAATTAATTTCGTATTGTTTTGTTAATCTCCTTATTAATTTCATCCTTGTCATCAGGACATTACGTGCAATATGATTGGTATATATCTCGAATAATATTTTTACGCGAGATTATAAAATCTTGCAAGAAAATGTATAAATCGAGCTGTTGGACGTGAATAGTTTAAATAAAATTTTCCTCTCAGCACCGAGCTATGCGTTGATGACGAATCGGCGGAATTATACCGGCTTGATGACGTACACGCGCATGTATGTGTGAGAGTTATGTCTGTGTATAATGGTTTCACAGTGATAATAACAAAGCATAATCAGAAAGCAGATCATTATTTATGTCGCTGTATGATTTAGTTGAATGATTAAAATAAAATATTTACGATGTTATTAATGTCGACTGAGAACAGTCGATTAAAGTACAAGACAAGCTACTTATTTGCTCATCCTAGCCAGTTTCAACATAGTGTTGATAGTGACTAAATATCGTCGCGAGAATTATTTAATGAACAATGAAAAAATTCCGAGAACGAATAGCTCGTTTGACAGATTTTTACTCAATCATTCCCATCATCCATCATATAGAATTGTACAGTGGCACGCGGATCTTAAAATAACAAACGAATTAATATATCGTTTATCGACTGAATTAATAAAGCTTGATTACTATTATTGAATTATCCTGGCCGTTACTGGCAATAATATCGACAATTTTCTATTCGATGTTTTCGATGTTCCCGGCAAAATCCAATCCAATCCAACAACTGAGAGAGGAGAAATGTTCGGTGGACGGACACAGCGCCAAATGCGAATCAGCGGGGCACGGTAACTCAGAGAAAATCAATAAACTACGAATGTTATTTTAAGACCACGCTTTCACGACGGCTCCACGCAGCTGAAAATCCACACCATGTGTGGATCCGCCTCAGAGACAAAACGAGGATATGGCGGATTCTCAATCTTTCTCGGCGTATTCCCGGAGAAAATTCTGATAAGAATGCAACTTGCCGCTTTTGAATCGATATAGGGAAAGCGCTGAGAATTAGCATAAAAAGGCGTGACACTTTTATGATGAGCGATTGAATTTTTAAGCGAATGATCTGCGAAGCGAATTGAATCTTACAATTGAAGAAGGTATCCTTCGAACATAATTTCACGATTCACATTTCCAGCTCGTGCATATATCATTCTGCAGTTTGCACAAACAATGCAGCACGAGAAAGATAAACCACCCTTTCTTAAGGATGTATGTATCATATGTCAAAACATTAGCAAAAGTATGAAAATTTTATACTGTTCTACTATTTCTTTTAAGTATCTGCAAAACCTAAGCACAATTCTTTTAACGGTTTGGAAATTATTTAAGTTTAAAGTTAGTATTGATACTTATGGAAAATTATCTATTGTAGCACTTCTTGACAAATTTGACAAGGAAAAAACATTGCCAATGAAATAAAAATTTTCATATATATTAAAAAAATTCTAATAAATATTTGTACAAAACTTGATTTAGATCCACTTATTCGTTTAAAAGTTATTTACTAAAAATTATAGAAAAATATTATCTCTCTCTCTCTCTTTCTTTCTGCAAATTACTCATTTTTTGTTTGTTTCTTGCAATTGATTTCAGAGGATATTCGCGACCAAAAGTTTTTATAAGAAATTAGGAAAAATATTAATTACAACTATTTTCTTTTACGAAGACGTTAAAAACCATATTCTTTTGTGATACTTCAATTCTTTTTTTAATCCGGATTTATTTATTTGATTTTTTAAACAATATAACTGTAAGAAATGTTTTCTTTTTTTAAAATTTTGACAGTTTTTTGCTACTATTGTTCAGCCAAAACGTCCTTAATTTCATTCCTAATCGAAAAGACTCGTCGTGCTTTTCATGGTAGATGCTTTCCTTTATTTTATACACTTCTTTATCATTATATGTGTATGGACGACAGAAATATTCCTGAAAAAAAATTACAGTCACGAGATCAATCTCTTTCGAAAAGTACGAATCTTATAAATATCACTAATGATATTTGCGGGGCTATTAAGATTTTGCGATATATAATGTGTGCATTTCGGAGCGCGCTAATTACGACAAGATGCGACACACTTTCGAAGTATATTCCCCGGCTCGTCTTCTCGTTCGAGATCTAAAATGTTGCCGTCTCTATGTTTCGCGTCAGAAAGATCATGAAACTTCGCATACGTTTTGGAATCGTAAAAATAGATGCATCCTTGCAGGATGTGTGTGTGTGAGAGAGAGAGAGAGAGAGAGAGAGAGAGAGGGGGGAGGGAGAGAGAGGGGGAAAGAGAAGGAGAAAGAGATGAAGAGAGAGAAAGCGAAAGAGAGGGGGGAGAGAGAGGGGGAGAGGGACAGAAAGTGGGAGAGAGAGAGGGAGAGAGGGAGGGAAGAGAGAGAGAGAGAGAGAGAGAGGAAGAGAGAGGGGGAGAGGAGAGAGGGAGGAGAGAGGGAGTGGAGGGGTGGGAGAGGGAGAGACGTAAGCGTTCTCATCTACTGTTCAAAAATAGAGATATTTCTTGGCCACACGAACATGGTGGCTAGAGATATCGCGTGTGGCTGGTAGAAGAGCGATATTACGAAAATACATTAATATTCTCTTTATACAAATCTAAAAAATTTGTAATAGTATGTTAAAGATTACAAGAATGTTTCGTTAATGTTCATTCATGCTTAAAAGCTAACCTATCGATTCCCAAACTTTATTAACCCTTTCATATCTCAATACCATTCATGCAGGTCGCCAATCTGTATTGGTCTTACGAAGAAAACTACGCAAATTATACGTAGATTTGTAGCTCGACCTTGACAACTAAACGATCAACGCGATGTCTAAGGAAGAGTCACGAGAACCGCGTTTTCCGGCAAGACGGCGCCGATTCTATTCGGAATATTATGATCGCCGTACGTTGCGCGGTTTATAAATGTAATAAAAATAGGCGTTCTCTGCAGCTATTCGGAGTCAAGTTTTTCTCGCACAGTCTGGCACAAACGTAGGCAGGCTTTCCCTCTGTTCCTCCCTCCCTCCCTCTCCCTACCTCCCCATCTCCCTCCTTCCCTCCTGCGCCTTTTTTTCCCCCCCCCCCCCCGCCTCGTCAGTGCAATTCGTCTCCCCCCGCGCATTGTGTATATATCAGGGCTAAATAGAAAAATAGGGTCAATCGTTGCGCAATAAAAATCGCCGCGGCGCGAATAGTTCGTCGTCCTCGACGTAGTCGTCGTCATCGTCGTCAGCATCGCCGACGTCGAGTTGCGAACCCGTGTTTTCGCGCGATTTTGAAAGCGATCCGATCGCCAAGTTGCGAGACTTGCATCGTGACGCGATGCGTACAGCAGGAGTGCTTAACGTTGACAGCAGCCTCTTGCGAGTCCTTAGTTGGGAAGGTCGCAATGACGCCTAGTTATTGCTGCATCGATTGTTATCAACGATGAAAAGTATTTATTAGCTTCACGGATATAAGCTTAAAAAAGATTCAATGTGATAATTTTCCGATATAGGATCTCGAAGAACATCTCTTCTCGTTCGATTAAAAAAAATCTTTTATTTTTCTTCCCGTTATAATTAATACGTGTGGGTATCTTTAATAAATATACGATATGAAAGTAACTAATGTACGTTTTTCCTGTTATAAACTATTGCATTCTCGACGAAAAGTGCTCTTTTGCGAACTAGACATAAGTTTATTGGCGCGATATTTAAACGTTTCATTACGAAACATTGCGGAGAGAAAACATGAGACCCAACTTTTCAATTTTTGAGAACATATTAATGAAGTATTAAATATATAAAGCGTTAAATTTTGCATGCCGATAGCTGAACACAAAAAAGCGTTTATAATGACCGATTTCATATATTAAGGGGTCTTCCTAGTTTGACACTCTGAAAATAAGGAGATTTTAGGAAATTTTTTTTAAAGAAAAATATAAAACATTAAAATTCTAAACTTTGCACTTTATTAAATAACATTTCAAGTATATCCTGAATTTTTTTCAAACAAAAATATTTGTTTCTTTCGCAGTTATAGTAGTCCAACCAGTGTCTAAAAAAAAATTGTTGTTTGTGGCGAACATGATTCCAGCCAATGCAGTCATCTGAAATAAAAAAACTAAAAAGATTCTTAATCTGTATGAGTGTGGCTATAGTGTGAACTAAAATTAAATCGATATTTGCAAAATTCGAATTTTACGACTTACAAAATTAATCAATTTTTTGATAAAAAATGAAATTTTTTTTGAGACGCTGCCATTTTTTATTTTTCAATATTTTTTTTGATCTAGTTCACGTGATAGCCACACTCATACAGATTAAGAACCTTTTTGTTTTTTTTTATTTTAAATGACTATAACGGCTGGAATCATGTTTGCCACAAACAACAATTTTTTTTTAAGACACCCTGGTTGGACTACTATAACTCCAAAACAAAAAATTTTTTGAAAAAAATTCGGAATATACTTTAAATGTTATTTAATAAATGTGCAAAGTTTAGAATTAATACGTTTTATACTTTTCTTTAAAAAAATTCCCAAAAATTGCCTTTATTTTCAGAGCGTCAAACTAGGAAGATCCCTTAATATTGATGTAGAAAATTGATGTGGAGTGAACACCGATAGAGATGTCGCGAGATATATCGATACATACAAGACGATATGTATACGATATATTTTCACCAATTATCTGTCGTGGAATATCTCCGTTGTGTGTATATCCTTATTTATTGATTATAAATTTTATTACTTTTTTTAAATTAAATACGACAAAGTTTCCGTAAAAGTTAAAGAGAATCGTGCGCGATGGTGTAGCAGTATCCCACCCCCTTCTCCTTTCTTTCTCCCTCACCCTCTCCCTCTCTCTCTCTCTCTCTCTCTCACTATCTCGCGAGGATGCACAAAGTTGCAGCATTATCGATTAAACTTTTTTAGAACACGTCCCGACGGTGTTGATAAGTCTCATTAAATGACCTAGAAAACGATATTAGCCACGAGATACTTGACAAATCGCAGATTATGTTAATAAATGTCCCGAGATTCATTTCCGGACATTCTTTCCGGTCGCCTCTCATTGAATCGCGATCTATAAACATATCCCCATCGTAATATTTCAAAAGATTGTTGTTGGGACTGTCGAATTTGGAAAAAAAACTTTATTTTCTTCGCGAAAGTAATTTCTGTAATAAAGAATAAAAGATTTTCCTTATTTATGCGCTTTCGAGTGATGTATATGTGTGTGTAAACTTCTCTTCGAGCGCAGCGTGTACTCTAAACTGTTAAAAAATTATTATTATTTTTTTTTAATTGAAAAAGGCGCCAAGTGCACGCGCTCCAGCGCCTTTTGCTATAAAAAAACTCATACAAACTAGTGTTATTTCAATTTGTTGCGAAAAATTCTTATATAAAATAGTGTTATTTTAATACAAAAACACTGTCATATTCAAAAACTATTCTAAAAAACTGTTTTACGAAATAGTTGTTTTTATTTCCTACAAAAATAATGATATATGATAAAAATATTGCGCCAACTAATAAAAATTTATGTTACAAAATTCATTTATTATTATTTCTAGTATTAAAAAATGCAATGTGATTAAAATAGTGTAATATATCTAAACGAAAAAAATTTTTAATTAAAAAACGACCACGCACAATTCATATGAAAAAAACGTTTTCGCTCAATTTGCTTGAATTTGTGATATGTTATATTCTTGTGCCCCTGACCAAAAATGTCAAGTTACAGAAATTTTCTATATCCAATTTCTGAATTATACGGGTATACAAAAAGTATCGAAACCCCTTAATATTTCGAAAAATACGCATTTTAGAAAAAATGTTGTATAAAAGTTGCAGGGTTTTATGTGATGCATTACATAGTAATATTATTATGACCTTGAATAGCGTTGTCAAAGTCACGTAAAGATCACCTTGACATTTCTTAATGGAAACCGCCATTTTTGATTGCATATTCTTATTCTCTATTCTAGCTTATCTTGAGAGTTTTTTTTTTAAAACACTATAATAAAGTATTTTTTCATTAAGTACTTTCCGAGTTAGGAGACTTGAAATGTACAGTACCGGCATTAGTATTATCCGAAAGTGATTTTTACGTGATCTTAACAATGCTATTTAAAGTCACACTAACATTTGCTACTTAATGCGCCACTTAAAACCCTATAACTTTTGTTTGAAACATTTGTTCAAATCTCAAAAATATATCATTTTTGAGAAAAATGTTCCAAATAAAAGTTGTAGGATTTTAAGTGGCGTATTAAGTAGCAATGTTAGTGTGACTTTAAATAATATTGTTAAAGTCATGTAAAAATCACTTTCAATACTAATGCTAATTAACTAATTAATACTAATGCTGGCAGTATTGTACATTTCAAGCATGATAATTTGAAAAATACTTAATGGAAAGGAACTTTATTATAGTGTTTTGAAAATCCCTTAAGTAAGTTACAAGAATATGCAATCAAATTTCCGTTAATCAGTTCACTGGTGGACCCGAAATCAACGTTTTGTGCCAAAACTAAGAGTAAGTAATTTCGTATTAGTCATCGACCAAAAAACATGGGTGTATCAAATTTAATGCAAATCCGTTGAAAATTGGCAGAGTTATTGATGGTGCCCATATATGAGTCATTACCAGATTTGCCATATTTTTTTCGCCCATATATGTAATTATCAATGAACTGGTTAAAAGATGTCAAGGTGATCTTTACGTGACCTTGACAATGCTATTCAAGATCATAATAATATTGCTATGTAATGTGTCACATAAAACCTTACAACTATTATATGGAACATTTTTTTCTAAAAAGCATGTTTTTCAAAATATTAAAGGGTTCCGATACTTCTTGTATACCCGCATAATTCAGAAACTAGACATAGAAAATATTTGTAACTTGACACTTTTGATCAGGGACACAAGAATTATAACATTAAATTCAAGCAAATTGATCGAAAACGTTTTTTTTCATATGAATTGTGCGTGGTCTTTTAAGTATAAAATAATTTTTTAATTAGAGAAAAACTTGACGCTGCTAAACTGAACATATGCTAATCTAATTAATGTATTATTTACATTTTGAATCTAGCAGCGCCAAGTTTTTCTTTAATTAAAAAGTTATTTTATACTTAAATTTTTTTTAATTAAACATTTTTTTCGCTTAAATATATTCCACTATTTTAATCACATTGCATTTTTTAATATTAGAAACAATAATAAATGAATTTTCTAACATAAATTTTTATTAATTGGCGCATATTTTTATCATATATCTCATTATTTTTGTAGAAAATTAGAACAACTATTTTGTAAAACAGTTTTTTAGTTTGAATATGATAGTATTTTTGTATTAAAATAAAACTATTTTGTATAAGAATTTTTTACAACAAATTAAAATAACACTATTTTATATAAGTTTTTTTATAGCAAAAGGCGCTTATGCGCGTGCACTTGGCATCTTTTTTTCACTTATTTTTAAAAAAGGTAAAATTTTAGCAGTTAAATTACTATACGCTCGCGCTATGTTATAAATTATAAATTATCTGACTAATATGTCTTGTATCCTGATTTTATATCAAAAGTGAATGTTATTTATACTTATCTGTAGCTGAATATATGATGCATGACAAATAACTGTATGATGACACTCCTTTGACAAATGCACTCAAATATGGATTCTTGATGTCTATATCGATAACTGCTCGCAGTTATCCATAGTGGCTTTTGACAAATATAGGTTAAATTTTCCAGAGTTCAACATTATATAGCGTAGCACTCTTTCATTTATAAAAAAGTGAAGCTGCAAAATTCTTTGTGATACTTATCGATAGTTGAATCAGGTATAGAATACAAACACACACACATATCTTATAATAAACATATGATAAAATACACATCTTGTTCTTATCATAAATATAGAATATTTTTATATGTAATGCGATGTTTTGTTTTGTTTTTTTACACATAGTATAAATTACTTTTGCAATATTTTATTTTTCTCTATAAATAAAATAAAAAAATATTCTATACCTTTATAATAGGATGTTTATATTCTATTCTATATATATTTACTATAAGATATGTGTGTGTGTGTGTGTGTGTATTTTATATCTGATCCAACTATCCGCAAGTAGCATGAAGAATTTTGCAGCTTTACTTTTTTATAAATGAAAGCGTATGCTATGGCTGCGTTCCGATATTCACTGCCAGTATTGAAAATTTATAGTTTACGTCACGTGCATTATAGATTTTTAGCACTGGCAGTGAATATCGGAACGCATCCTATATAAAGGTCACCACATACAAAATTCCGTAAGGACATAAGCCGTAAGCGTAAGAAAATTGACCAATCCCAATCAAGTATTGAGCTTTCCGTAAAAGTGGAGAGATTACGGAGAGCCAAATACTCGATTGGGATTGGTCCATTTTCTTACGCTTACGTCTTACGTCCTTACGGAATTTTGTGTGTGATGGCCTCAATACTGCACTCTTGCATTGCAAACTTAATCTGTACCTGTCAAAAGCAGATATGGATGCGAGCAGTAACATCACAAAGTGCCGCTAGCTCTATCTTATGTCGAAGGCTCCAACCGTACAAGATTCGCGCATGCGCATTGCGTGAATGATAATGTGATGACGACGTGGACATTTCTTAAAAGAAAATTTTCACATTGAGACTGCATCATATTACCTCGTTCACGATATATGTAGAAAAAGATAAAGACACTTTTATTATATAATTTAAACTCAAGCTATCGATTAAGCCTATTAAAAATATGATCGATTCAGCCGTTATTGAGGTCCAATAATCTAGAGTACTTTCAACTAGCCGACTCGCGTATAGATACCCAGGGTGCCTCACTGTTGCTGCGCATGACTTGGCGCGAGACACTACTGTGTCTCTTAATAAAAAGTATCCATCATTTATCTTCATACATGTTTTTGTGATTATGTGTTAATGTGCTTCGTATACGGCCGCAACACATGTTACAGAAATGAGCCTGACGAGAATAAAACTTTCGTCTGCGCAAAAAATTTCTTCTCTCGAATGTGGGTGTATCGTTTTGATAGGAGTGTCGGTAGCATGTTGTAAATATTAGCAGCCCGCGAAAAGATCGTACTGATAAAATCTGGTAATATATTCGTAAATACGAAACAATACGAGACCTCTCAAACGCGAACTTGACGAAATTACGTCAAAAAAGCAAATACATGGTTTATATTGCGCATACATTAATTTAGCATATCCTTATGCGATAAAACTGTGTATGAGTGAATATTCTGAATGTCGACAAAAAAAACACCCGTTACACGAGACAGTCGTTGATTTATATCTATATTTCGTCTGTCGCGTATTGTTTGATTTCTTTCCAATTATTGCCAATAATGTTAAAACGACGAATCGCTCGAAAAGAAAATAAGCGAATTCATTATTAGTTAATAATGAAACGTAACGTGTATCGTTGACAAATGACGAATTTTTTCAATTTGTGCTTTAATCTTTTTCACAAGTTATTAGGCTATTAAAATACAAAAATCGTGTGATTATTGTTATCGGACGGGCAATCTAATCTTGGGATAAAGATCACATGATACGATAGACATGTGGATACGATTGTAACGAAATGTGTTCAACGATACATCGCTTGCCCAATTATTTCACGCGTAACTTTAGCCTCCAGAAGTTATAACCGACATCGCGGTCAATAGAAATGCGACTCGAGAGATGTTCCATTTTCGTATCTACAACTGAAAGCTTGATATATTCTCTCATCGTACGTTTAACAGTTGATGCGCCCGTCCGTACTTCTTGTATAAAATCGGGCAAGCTCTAATATAGGAAAATGACAATCAACCTGAAATAACTGCGTTTATCCCGAGATATATGTAGCATAAAATTTCATTTCCCCGATAAAAGTCTTTAAAACATTGGCTGCGTTCAGCAGAAAAAGCAGCTTTGCAACCCCCCCCCCCAAAAAAAAAGCGGATGATAATTTTGCTCTGACGAAAACTTTTCAAGATCAGATACAAGATTGAAGACAATGTTTAAGATTTGACGGTTCGTGAAAATAATTCTAATTTTGAAGCACCAATATCGTTAAACATGATTAATTACGCGTACGGTTGTCTGTATTACGATCGTAATTTACGAGAGGACTCACTGAAAATCGTTAATCCAGAATTAATTAAATCTAACTGTCACGTAAGCCAGGCTTATTGTTAGTCAGATGTCGATGAATATTGGTCAAATCAATCGCGAATATCGCCTTGGAATATACAATTTAGGGGAACTTGATTCATATGTACTTTTACCATTTTTATATCATACTTTTAAATTTGTACATTAATTATACTACCCGAAAAAGTGACTGGCTGCCTAATCGATGAGGGGGACGACCATGATAAAAAGTATCGTCACCGATTGGCAATTACTCCAGTATCATCGCATGATAATTTTGTCATATATCGTGAGTTATATCGATATAATGAATTATCTATGCAATGTTACATTGCATAATATTGTTAATGATGAAACTAACTATTGCGCGAGGCATCGAGATGTATTAGAATCTTTTAAAGGCCAAAGTGTCCTTTCTAACGAACCGAACCGGTTAGCGAGTTTTTACAATCCCGATCGTTACCACGATGATCCACACGACTAATCATCGTGAAAGTAATGTCAATCAGCATATCGGCCTAACTCACGGTGTCGCGTGAGAAAAATCGCTTATCGAATACCTCACCGTAGAAACGATCGGATGGTTCACCTTGTCGGGAAAAAAGAATAACTAGGAATCGCGAGGAAGGACAGATAAACGAACGTCGCGCCGCGAATGTTGGCCGAAAGGAGCCTAAGACTCACCTGCCTGGACCGTGACGAGGGTGCCCACCGCTAAATATAGCAGCCCCAGCAGCACAAAAACGGCTCGCCTCTCCATCCCGATGGCGCTGCTGCCGATGTACGCGGTGGCGCGTGACCGTACGACAATACGATATCAACGATGAACACGACGTCGATGATCCACCTTGTCGTTCTGCGAAGCGGAAGAGGAGCCGTCCTTTCACGGATAGGCGGACGTTCGCCGATTCCCCTAGATGATGGACTGTCTTCGAGAATGTATCACAATCGTCGTCCTCGTCCTTGTTCTCTCCCTTGTCAGTCCGTTGATCCGTCAATCGCGAACAAATTCCCTTTTCACTCGGCCGTGCGTGATTGACGATCGCAACTACCGTTCATATCGTTCGCGCGAGAATACCCGTCACACCGCTACTACTGCTGCTGCTGTTGCTTCTTCTGCTTCTCCTTTTCCTCTTCACCTTCTCCCGCCGCTGTCGCCGACGATGAGAGAACAGACACAATCTATCACTGACGTCTTATCGTTATCTCTGCATTCGGCTCTTATCTCTTAATGCGCACTACACATAGAGACCATCCGGGTATCAGCTACCACTGCCGTCGTCGTCGTCGTCGTCGCCGCCGCCTTGTCGTCACTCCCTTCTCCTCGTTATTGACGTCGTCGTCGGTTCAACTTGGAGCAAGATAGATGGAGAAAGGGAGGAGAGGAGAGGAGAGACAATTACAGATCCCCGTGATAAATAGCACCGCGAGAGCACCTACAAATGGCAATGTCAGGAGAAAAATGGTGGCCGTTGTCTTCTGCTCGGAGCTCCGCGCGAATGTTCTCGTTCTGTCGCGCGCTCGTTCCCTCCTTTTCCGACAAAGCAAATCTTGGCATCCAGCGCCCTCTGCGATGTGTTACTGCCGCGCTCATGGACGTAGGAAATATCTGGACGAGCAATGAACTGTATACTGTTACGTCTAGGGTTGCCATACGTCCTCTTTTCCCCGGACACCGTCCTCTTTTTTAGGGCATCCGGGGACGTCCGGGGGGATTTTTCGAATGTGTCCGGGGTAATTATGAATGTCTGGGGTTTAAGAATATTCATAAATATCCTGCTTTTTAGATTTAATTAACCACATCATATTCAATCACTTCAATACAATTGAAGTTATCAACCATTTGTTTTTTTATTTTTATGCGTGAATCTAATAATAAAACTTCTTTTAAATTAAAAACATGTTTAATTTATTCCTTTTACTCTAAGTACTAATGAAAATGAGATCTAAAATAATTATTAATTTATTGTTATAAGTTATAAGCAACTTGCTAACCTATTCGCATTTTTGTATACGTTCGGGGTTGCAAGCGAAATGTCCGGGGTTTCTGAGCTATAAGTTCTAGTTTTGAAAATTTTATTATGGCAACCCTAGTTACGTCTCAACAACGCTCTTTTCTTACTACACCTCAGTTAGTGAGAAAAGGATAGCTCTATATTTTTTATAGGGCAACCTGCTTCCACCGGCTATACCTCAGGGTAGAGTCCTAGACTGGTATTCATAGTCAGTTCTTATTTCAAGACCGTCTTAAGTAATGTCTTAAGATGCTAATACGGCTCTGTGATTGGTTTAGGACATCTTAAGATTGTGCTTAAGACGGTCTTAAATATAAGAACTGACTATGAATACCGGTCCTAAATTATCAGAGATGCGCTAACTTGTTTCACTTCCTGATTGGTCGATTAAAATAGCCGCCATGTTAGACCACAAACGTCACACGTACAGCCTGACAGAGCTGTCAATCAAATGTGGTTGTGTTAATATTAAATTTAAATAAATGCAGATTATAATTTCTTGTAACCACGGTAAGTAGAAATGTCTTATACATATATGTTATATATGTCTTATATATGTTTTACATATATATAGAATAAATACATTTATTATATACATATATACAGGGTAGGGCATTTATAGTGATGCGGGCATATTTTTCGCAAACGAAGTGAGATATCAGAAAATGTTTCAGACAAAAGTCATAGGGTTCCAAGGGGGGCATAAGATAGTACCATTGCTTTGACCTTGAGTGAACGTGCTATGGTCATATAAAGTTCAACTTTGTTTTTTTTTAATGAAAGCTCTTATTTTTCATTGCATATTCTTGTAGCTTATCTCGAGAGCTTTTTAAAACACTTTATTAAAGTATTTTTTCATTAAGTACTTTTTGAGTTATTTTATATTTTATTCTGACATATTTTGATATAAAAAATAAAATATCTCGTAAAATATTTAGTTTTCGATAATCTTACCGTAATACTTTTATATATAAAATAATGGGACAAATCAATTGGCATAAAAACAAAAATTGTTTTTAAGAAAAAGTATGTAATTATTTACAATGTATTTTTTTAAACAATTATTTGTTTTTCTCATTACACTGTATATATATACAGGGTGTTCTAAACCATCCGTACACCCCTTTTCTTTCAAAAACTAACCATTTTAGAAAAAAATGTTTTGAACAAAAATTGTATGGTTTTGAGGGGAACATGAGATGGTGTCATTGGTTTGACCTTGGATGGCATCGTTAAGGTCAAGTCAAGGACACCTTTAATTTCTTAAATGGAATCCCCTATTTTTTATTGCATATTCTTATAGCTTATATCGAGAGCTTTCCAAAACATCATAATAAAGTATTTTTTCATTAAGTACTTTTTGAGTTATTTTATATTTTAATCTGACACATATTTTGATATAA